ACATTATACGAAGTTATATGTATTATATATATATATATATATTATACATACACATATTTTGTGTGTATGTGTGTGTGTGAGCGTGTGCGTACATTCGTTTTATTTTTTTAGATCAAAAAATGTTACATATCGCGTATTTATAATATATTTGCTGTACCCTAAGCGTTTAGAGGTAATTTTACATTGCAGTGTATTTGTCATCATCGCTAAGAAGTGAGTAGAGAAAATATCAACAAGAACGAGAAAGTGCAAAGCTCTTGTTCCTGTAGTTTATTCAACATCAACAGAAATGCGACGATGAGAAATAACGCTATTGCTTCGACGTGTCTCAATAGTTTCGACTCTGTCACGGCACTCTCGACAGTCTCGACAGGTCTCGAGGCCGATCGTCATGGATATGTATGACACTCACGCGCGACCGACACTATATACACATATGTGCACACGCATTCACGCAAGCAGCAGGCAAGCACGCACGCACGCACGCACGCACGAACGCACGCACACACACATCGACGATATTCACATATACATTAGCGATATACGCGGAAGAACGACGCGATTACCTTGCGAGTAAACGATCGCGTTATATGCTAATAAGCCGCGTCGCGCTCGCTCACATCCGAATCAACGACGAGCGATTAGCAAACAGACACGCGACAGGAGAATCAGCGATCGAGGCGAGAAACGCGGAGCCACGAGTATCTCGGGCGAGCCAACACGGCCGCCATTGCTCCTACATGGCACGGACTCGCCCAGTTTCTTTTTCCGAGCGAGAATCCGGCCGAACATGACGACTAAGATGTGTGACGACGCGACAACGAGCTTACGATCGTGTACTTACGTGCGATGTATGTCCTGGAACGTCGCGGCGAGCCTCGGTGTTGTTCGCATCAGGTCCGAAACCAACACGTAAAGGCGGATGAGAATGCGTAACGGTTACGTCGTTTTCTTCCTCGCGCGAACAAGCTCCAGCACGTAATTAGTGGACGATCGATGTCTCTGGCCAGAAATTTATCTCTATTGCGTTCGTACGGAGTTCAAACGATCATATTTTTATGATTCTATCGGTCGATCGCATCATGTCTCATGTGTTTTCTTTCGATTGGATTCTGGCTCGCTCATAAAAGCCTAGCTCGACCGAAGCGATTAACCATTTAGCACGTCGTTTCTATCTGCGCGACGCAAACGCCTTCGCTCACAGTGTTCGCGCGCACGGTGTCGCCGCTGCGCGGTGAACGCCAGCAATTGTTACAACTTACAAGTACGACGAGAAAAAGAGAAAGACTCTAGATATCTCGAAAAATTCCCCATCACTTGCAATTTTGGTCGATACAGCCATTCAGGATCCTCTCTGCTTAGAGGCTTTCTAGTTTCAAGCGCTGTGATTGTGCTGTGATTGGCTTGCGTTGTGATTGGGCAAGCGAGACGTTGATTGGATACCGCGGTATTCTCTAGCCAATTTCCGCCTCGCGCCATGCGGTGGCAAGCGTTGCCGCCGCGCCTCTGTGGGCTGTGTGCATTTAGCATAAAACAAACATAACCTATCGAAACGACAAATCAAATCGCAGATCACAAGAAGATATAGAAAGAAATTGGCGACAAAACGGGTCATTATTAATTCAATAGCCAGTTACTCACTGAAGAACAAGATTGCGAGCAAGTTGGTTCGAAACGATGGGTGAACGCTACAACATCCATAGCCAATTGGAGCATTTACAATCCAAATACATCGGCACAGGACACGCAGACACAACTAAATTCGAATGGTTGGTGAATCAGCACCGGGATTCCTGTAGTTCGTATATGGGCCATTACGATCTGCTAAATTTCTTTGCAATCGCCGAGAACGAAGCCAAGGCACGAGTTAGATTCAATCTTATGGAGAAGATGCTGCAACCTTGCGGACCACCGCCTGAGAAGCCGGAGGATTAAATTGCGCGTTTTTTCTCCAACATTTTTTCTGTGTGATAGAAACTAACTTGTAATTTTGAAAAATCGGAAAAAATATTACATTTTCGTGACTTATTTAGATAGATGTTTCAAGACTATTTAATAAACTCGAGTGGATTTCGTTATATCTATCATAACAATATTACATGTGTGTGTGCTACAGTTCTCTCCTGCGTGAGCGTCATATGCAACTTAATCTTAATTGTGCTTGCGTGTTAACGACAAGAATATATGTACATTTTTTTTTTGCAATCTTGAGTTATTAAAAAAAATTAACGATAGGAAGATTTTAAAAAATTATTGCTAGCTCGAAAAAAATAATCAAGATGCCTCCGTTTCCATTATGTTCCACAAAGTGTGGAAAAAATGCCATTTTAAAGGTGAATTATTTTTCCAGTTCTACATCTGTATTGCATCTGAAAATTGCTTGTATACCCTCCATTGTTAAATATATTTTAAAATAATATGTATGTGCTTTAGAGGCCAAAAACTGGTGATACATTGTGCAAAGAATGTTTCTTCTTGGCGTTTGAGACTGAGATTCACGATACTATTGTCAAAGGTAAATTGTTCAAGCCTGGTGACAAAGTTGCTATTGGAGCATCTGGTGGAAAGGATTCCACTGTATTAGCATATGTTTTAAAGACTCTGAATGAAAGACACGAGTATGGATTGGATCTGTTTCTTTTATCCATCGATGAAGGAATTACTGGTATAATATAACTATATATATAACAATAACATTAAACTATCTGTAGCATGTAAAAAGTATAATTTTCTTTGAAAATACATTATTTCAGGATATAGGGATGATAGCTTGAAAACCGTGACACAGAACAGAGATGATTATGGTATACCACTTAAAATTTTATCTTACAAAGAATTATATGGATGGACAATGGATTCTATAGTTGCAGAGGTAAAATATATCAATACTTAAATTATCGGTTAAGCTTATTAAGAACTTGTTATTCAGTATTCAGTACTTGTTGAGATCTAATAATTTAAAAATCTGTTAACTAAATGGCTTGCATATAGATACACAGTTGTTGCGCGAGACATGTTTCTTCATAATCTTCAAGATCCAACAAATACAAATGATGAAATATGAATATATTTCAGATCGGCCGTAAAAATAATTGCACATTTTGCGGTGTTTTCCGAAGACAGGCACTGGACAGAGGAGCTGCAATTTTGAAAGTAGATTGCATTGCAACAGGTCATAATGCAGATGATATTGCTGAAACGGTATTAATGAATATCTTGAGAGGTGATATTGCCCGACTTCAGAGATGTACATCTGTAATCACTGTAAGAATATTGCATACATGTAACTGTCCCTACTAGTGTGCTTTTATATTTAAATAAGTCATAAAAATAAACTGGTACTTAATAAAAAAAAAAATACTTTGTCTATTTATCTGTACCAGTTTATTTTTATGACTTATTTAAATATAAAAGCCCACTAATAGGGACAGTTACCCTACATTCCATTATGAGATACATTATGAAATTACACGTAACTTTATTATCTATATTTTTATGTAATATAGGCTGGTGCTGATTCTATTATGCGTTGTAAGCCACTGAAATATGCATACGAAAAAGAGATTGTCATGTATGCATATTTTAAAGGTCTAGTATATTTCTCCACAGAATGCATATATGCTCCAAATGCTTACAGAGGTCACGCACGAGCCTTTCTAAAGGATTTAGAGAAAATAAGACCATCGTCTATCATAGACATAATACATTCGGGTGAGAATCTTTTTTGTTTATATAATGTTTATCTGTTATATAATTTCAAAATTATAAAAATTAATATATTATCTATTCGGCGTACTAGGTGAACAGTTACAAGTGAAAGATAATGTAAAAATGCCAGAAAGAAGAAATTGTACTCGATGTGGATTTGTCTCAAGTCAAGAAATATGTAAAGCATGTGTTTTGTTGGAAGGTTTGAATAGAGGACTGCCAAAACTCGGCATTGGCAAATCTAATAAAGCTAAAAAGATAATGAACTTGCACATAGATAAGAAGCATATAAATAAGCAGCAAAATATAGATCTTTAAGATTTTCCTAAGTATGTAACACAATATGCAAATAAAATATTTCTACAAAAATAAATCTTTTACCTATGTACATATATTTCAGTTATTATTTAAAAAACATTTTACCAATCCTGCATTTAAAGAAAACTAAATTTTTAAACAAAAAGGCAATCCTATTTAAAAATTGTGCCTTATACAATATTGTAGACATCGTTTAACTGTAAAATTGTTAATTGACAACGAAAATGATTTATACCTTAAATGTATTGATATATATTACAAAATTTAATAATTCTATATTTCTAATAGCTATTGTAATTAATGTGCACACACGCACACACACACACACACACACACACACACACCGCTTTTATGTAAATTAGATTTTCATTTATAAATACTAAAACTGTACATATTACGTAAAGAAAATAGAATCATGGGATAATTATTTTAATCAATCGTTTTTATCCACACATTTCCTGATACAATAAAATATGCTGTATAAAATTCGTATTTATATCAAAATGAAATTTAGACTATATATGCTGCTGCTTTCTGAATGATTTGTGTTCTGCAAACGGGACAATTATTATTGATGCTAACTGAGCAATCTTCGCATATGCATACATGACCACAAGGTAGTAAAATAATTTCACGTGCGTTTGTCTTGCAAACTACACATATCTGATCTTCCCTAAGATCTCTATCCCTGACTCTTTGACGTCTTTCTTGACGAGATGTTTCGAGCGATTGACGTAATTGATCTGCTAATCTTTGCTCCTGTTTATTCTTCCAATAACGTCTCGCCATAATTCCTCCGAGTACTAATCCAATTGTGCCACTCATCAAACAAAATATTCTAAATTTTAAAACATTATTATATTATAAATAGACTTAATAATGTAATCAATAATATTACAATATTACACTAGAATATACGTGCCTGTATATTTTCTTACGATCATCTAATTTCCGTATCAAAGAGGTAATTGACATGCTTGTTATATAAAAAGGAGGTCCGTTTAATGGAGGTTGCAAAGTAAGATAATTGGATTCGACAGTTTTCGACCTCGAGAGCTCACCTATTGTAGTAATAATTGAATCTTCACGCAACATTTTTTCTGTAGACTGTATACCACGTTGGCGTACTCCTGTAATAAATCATATGATAAATGCAAGTTTAAGAATTTGAAGCATGCGCGTGCGCGCGCGCTCGCACAAACGCACACCCACACTTTTTAAAAAATACATATGATGATTCTACATTAAATAATAAAAACAAAAACAAGATTATAGGAAAGGCTAAAAAAGGAGATTGCATGCTTTTATTGCAATTACCTGTAAAAAATCCCCATACATGATCTATAATCGTAGGTACACTAGGTTGAAACTGATCGGAGATTATATCCAAGTCTAAAATCTCGGCGGACAATGGATCTGTTATCTCTACAGAGTACCATCTGTTTTGCAAAACAAATGGTACCGTATGATATACTTGGTGAATTGTTCGTTCTTGATCAGACCTATGGAAGAAATAGAATGATATTGTCCAGATTATTGATATTTATATTATAATCAGAATTATTCGTAAAGTTTGCAATGTATATTCTTACCAATAACCAGCTGACGTTCTCGCGACAACATGTTCTCTGACGCTAAGCTTCTGTATGACTCCAGTGACACCTTTTTTATTAACGCTTTGTAATGATTCTCCTAATGGTTTCACGACCCCTTTGATAGCGATATAATCTACTTTGTTGTTTGGGCTTTTATCCAGTAAATTTTCCAAATCCGTGCCAATGTCGTGTAACTCGACACTCTACAAAATACAAGTTTACAAATTACCTTTAATATTTCAAAATGTTATTTAAATTAATGTATTTTAAAAACACTTTAACAACAAATTAATATCGTCTACCTTGATTGCCTTAATCGCATTTTTGTAATGAATATACTGTTTCAAGCAGATAGTAAATACAATCGTGTCAATTCCAAGCAAAAATATTTCGCTAAAGTACTCCATGATTAGATTATATTCTTGAGTATATTACCGCCCATTTTTATGTCGTTCCAATCTGCATCAAATCATTTGGACTAAGGTTACACATGTCTGGACATTCATTCTGAAATATATTTGAAATAAATACAAAGAATCAAGAAGTGAAAAGTGGAAAGAAATTATAATTAATGTATCTATTGAAACCAGAGAGAAACCTGAGAGCGGACAGGACATGACGGCCTGGCCTTTTGTCACTCTCCTGTAACCTTAAAATGCTCTCGTGCACACTAACGCCCCCTGAAGAAGTGACGGTAAACTACATGGCATTCACTTATCTGCACCGCGAGTATACAGTTATAATTTTAGTGCGTGTCCCTGCTATATCCACGGACCACGTTGTCCACGTTATCTTTCGAGATGTCGAAAGGTTGAGATTTGAGTTTGAGGTAACAGCTGCAAAAAGGCCGCGTCTCTCAGGTTTCTCTCTGTCTATCTACAGTTTACGTGACGTGATCTACAGATTCTCGCTTATATTTTCAGCATTAACAGTGTATTTCACGTGTATATACTTGTAGGTTAGGAGTCTATTCGCGCAATTTTTGACATTGCACCATCAGCGATTACTGCTGTGTAAGAGAGATTACATTTTTTAAATGTATAATCGTAAGATGTCCGATTGGTTGGTAAAAATGTATAGAAGAATCTTGATACAATCGAATCTCGACAATGTTTTTTATCTACAGTGCTGAGATCGATCATTATGCAAATCCAGCAAATCAAATGTTTGTTATTTTTGAAATAACGCAGCTCGCAAACAATTTTATTGCCAAATTGCCATCAAGAAAAGCGATTAAACGAATTCCAATTGGCTATGTTTACACCGTTATATTTAATCCGCGACATATACCCTATGTTCATCCTAAACACGACAATCAACAGCTTGTCAATCGTGTTTAGGTCAAGTTTAGGTCGAATGTAGGATATAAGTCGCAGACTGAAGCGTATACGTAGTTATATTGAACGTAGTCAATGTAACAAGCGTTCTATATAGGAGAGGTTTCATGAATTTCTGTCCAGTCTTAAAAATGACAAATTCTTACAAATATTAAAAACGGAGTTGGATATTGTATATGCAACACAATGCTGAAGGAATTCGATCTTGAACATTTTTGTCTGATGAACAGGTTAACGTTAAAATTGACAGGCAAGCAAACAAGCCACAAAGAAAGTATATTACATATATACTGTGCTCTTTTATTTTTTATTAACGAATTTTTTACAATTTTTATAAATAGTTGATTTATATAAGTATGCTGCATGAACAATTTCGACCAAATTCTACTTATAATTATTTTATCAGCGATTAAACTCAAATCGACGAGAGATCAGTTATTTGTAGCAAAATTTCTAACTATATATATAATTTTATCGTGTCCCTGATCTCTTTTATATTAAACAAAAAGTTAACAATTTTTAATTTCTATCGAGGGAAACAAAATTAACAGTATTATATACAGTATTTAACAAGTTAATTATTACTCAAATTAATCAGAGATTGAAATAATTTTAAATTTTGATTGTAATATAATCTCAATCCAACATTGTCTCCATCATTAAGTGGAAAACTTTTCTTTGAATTAGAACCCCAATCGAGATATTTTTCTGTAGGCAATTTAGCCACACAAATTCTTGATTTTTTCGAAAAACTTTTGTCCAAAATAATTATTCCGGGTTTCTTTATAAATTGTACTGATTCATAGTTATATATATATATATATATTTCTTATA